CCACCCAGGCATGTGGCAACCAGTCCTGGGTATGTGGCAGCCAGGTCCAAGTCACCCAGACCTGAGCCAACTAGGCCTGAGTCAACCAAACCCAATCCAACTAGATGAGAGCCAGTCATGCACGAGCGAACCAAGCATGAATTTTCTCCAAGTAAGACCTGCGGAGCCTCGAGACTGCCCAGAAATCCTACAAATGATTAAAGTAAGTCTCTCGCTCTCTCCTTATTACATGACCTTCATGGCATTAGTGTACGGCTGAAAGAGAACAAGGGTGGCATAGTCTGGGTTTGAATCCTGGCTCTGCTTATTATGATCTCTGTACATAACCTAGAAGTTACTTACACTCTCTAATCTTTATTTTCCATAACTAAAATCAAATTTAATATTTATCACAAAAGACCATTGTAATGATTCAGTAACATAAAATGGTTGCATGTAAATTGCTTCACATATATATTAGGGGGCTCAAAAAGTCATGGGGTAACCAATTCATGCAAATTTTAGGGACTGAATAATATGTAGTCTCTTCCGGGGAAATTTTAGCTTTAAAGGAGGATCTTAGAGAAAAGAAACACTTACCTCAAGTTAATGACCTGCTAATGATAGAATTTCAGGTATTAATGACTCAGATCTTGGAGTAGAGAATCTTACTGCTTCTCAGAGCCCACCTACTTGTAGAAACTGATTATTTACTACCCAGAAAACAATATTCACACACAACAAAATTTTCCCTACAATCAAACAGTTGATTCCTGAAGCCTGTCCACAGACAGCTCTGAGGAGTCCAGGAGCTAGGTTAAACATTTCTCATTTAAATATTTATTTTAATGGATTCCCTGGAAATCATTCCAGTTCAGTAAAGGGGACAAGCAATGTTTTTTTTTTTTTATTTCAGCATATTATGGGGTACAGATGTTTAGGTTACGTGTGTTGCCCTTGGTTCCCCTCCCCCCAAGTCCGTGCAGGGACAAGCAATTTAATTGCCATACTTACTGTGCTAAAGTTCTGTGGCATTGGAAGCAATCATTTATGTGATGCACAACCTGAACAATTCCATATAAAGACCTATATATTAATAAAAGCTGTGGTCTAGATTCTTATGGAATAAATATGTGGCTGGAACGAGGCACAGATTATAGATATGGTTTTATAAGGAAAATGTTTCCATATGCTCATCAATATATCTAAATTTTGTCTAAATCAGGCCAAGTTTGTATTCCCTTTTATTGCAGAATAAGTTTTAATGCCCCAAATAAAATACCCATAGTTTTCTAGTGAAATTCATCCATCAAAGTGATGCTAGGCCTGGTTATAGATCTGTAAGAACTGGGTTATTTATCCTTCCATGGCTTCCATACTATTCTATTTCCACAAGTTCTCACCTCATTTCTCTAACTGGCATTAATCTGCATGATTATATCATCAATCAAAATACTATGCCCAACAGATTATTAACAGTTATTCCAGATCCACATCTTTCAGGTGGTAGAAAATAATTTTAAGGAGTTTTTTTTAGCTCTAGTATATGACATTTGGTTGGCAATTACTAAATTTATTATTGAATGACAATAAATCTCTCTACCTGGACAAATGTACCCTTCTTAGCTCTCCAAATAATGCCCATTGCCATAATCAAGGGGAAAATATATCACTAGACAACCCTACTTCAATGAACCCTTACCTGTGGAGTTCCTGACCACATTTACTTTTTAATTTGCCACATGTACCTGAAAACACACCATAAGTTTCTTGGGAGTAATTTTAGTGATTATTCATTGTAGAATAATAATAGAAAACCTAAAGTACTTACTCTGCCTCACAGACTTGAATATACTGATCAATTAGCTTTGAGTTTTATGTTCTTCTCAATAACATATGACCATTTATCCTAACTCTGGTTCATGGCTAAGTTTGCAAAACATTCTCTCTTTGCAAAGGAGTTTATTAGAGTTTGCCATCATAGTAATTCCTTAGCGTAATATATTCCAGGTTTTACTTACTGTCCTGGCACTAAAGTTCTTCTGTA